TGGAATGACAATTATGATTATATTATTATTAATATTTAAGAAAAGGTTCACAATGTGCCGTGTGTATGTGGGAATAAAATATAAAATATAATGGACATTGTTCAATTCAATCTGATAAAAGTTGTTATTCATTTTTATCCTCGTGTATCCATAATCAACAAGTTTATTACTCGAGCATTGATATTACGGCAATGGTCAACCAATATTATTATATCTTGCATATTGAATTAAAGTAGTTAAACAATTTTTTTGACCACATAAAAAACCAAGTTTATACCGGTATTTTTAAAGCTGCACAGTTTTTCTTTATTAATTTTAAAATTCTTTTTTTACCTAAAAACTATGATTTCTTGCTACATATAAAATTTCAGATTAAAACATTACTGACAAATATTCATTTCATACAAATATCGAAATTGGAAGGCAGCTATTTTGGAGGAGTAGTACTAGTAGATTACTTATGTACCTGCATATGGTACAAGCACACGCACATTATCACATGTCAATAAAGTAGGTTCCTTGGTAATCAACGTATGCTACACATATCTGTGACAAATATGTCATGTACATACATATATAAAATATAAACAGTTGTATATGAATCAGAGATCAGTATATAGGTGGAATTTTGATAGAGTTGATAATTGTCATGTAACTAAAGCTCGTCGTGTTGTCCGTAGTTACTTTCTTCGTCTCCCTTTTTTATAAAGTTTATTAAAAAATGGGGATGTTATTCTCGAAGAAAAAACCACCTAGTCGAGTGACAGATCAAGACAAGGCCGTACTGGTAAATATCAACACTGCATCCGACATAACCTTGACTCCTTTTTTTGGGTGTAAATAATCCAAAGTGTATTTCTTTGTCAATTAACGCAGCAATTGAAGCAATCAAGGGACAAGATAAAGCAGTACCAAAAGAGGGTCGAGCAGAAAATCGAGAAAGAGAGAGAAATAGCGAAGAAGCTGATCAAAAATAATCAGAAAGAGTAAGTGCTTTTGCTTGTGACTAATGATTTTTTTTTTTTTTAACTCTTCTCGAACGCTGTGTATCTGTTTCTCATACCGTTTTTATTTTCAGCCGAGCCCTTCTGCTGCTGCGCAAAAAGAAATTCCAAGAACAAATTCTAGTCAGGACAGACGGCCAGCTGGAGAGTTTGGAACGGATGGTGACAGATATCGAATTTGCCCAGGTCGAAATCAAGGTCATTGACGGTCTGAAGATCGGCAACGATGCGCTTAAGAAGCTGCACGCGCTCATATCAATCGAAGATATCGAGCAAGTCTTGGAGGATACCCAGGAGGGTATTGAGAAGCAGCGAGAAATCAATGAACTTTTGTCCGGTGGGCTGAGTGTACAGGATGAGGACGAAATTGAAGCTGAGCTGGATGCTCTTGTGGCTCAAGATTCAGTCAAGGAGAAAGTCACATCTGACGTGCCAGAAGATATTCTGCTGCCAAATGTACCTGAAAATGAACCAAACAAAGAAAAAGGTACAAAAAAACCTAGTTTTGTATTTATGTTACATGTATTGAAATATTTTTCTTTTATAGCTATAAAAAGCAAAGTGCAAGAGCCAGTTGCTTTGGAGGCCTAACTTTGTATTATCAGGACCATTGTTTTTATACGGCTTATATGTATATATGTACAGCAAATAACGTTTAACACATTTATTAAATGGACTTGAAAATCTGTAAGTAAAAAAGAAAAAAAATCAGTTTTTTAAGAAAGGTACCATTATGTAAAAAATTTGATAAATGTTGTTTTAAAAATGTGAAATGTCGTCCGAACAATACTTGTTTGATACACTGCATACTTTATGCCTAAGGTGCAGTATCTTACATCTCTGTAATAGTAGACCTTTGTCAGGTCGGCAAAGTTGTCATTTAGGCAACCTATTGTGATATGACAAATACATTAAGTATTCGATTTAATTTTAGTTGAAGTGCAGTTTAAAGTTTATTTTAGATAGTATTAAGTAACACAATCTGTACAATATTTCCCACTTGTTTATTTTTCTTCAGAAAAGTAAATAGGTTTTTATGTAATTTTACATGTTGAATTGTGGTTCAAGCTGATGTTTAACAGTAGGGAAAAATTGTAACCATACTGAAATCCTTGTTTTGGATTTTATATCTTTTTACCAATGCTTATTTTTATCTTGAATAACAAATAATTTGAGTGTTGTTAGTTGATTGTTATTATTTGTAATATCTGTCATCAAAAGTGTAATAAGATTTTTTATATGTATCTAAATTAACGACGAACGCTAAAATTATTTACAAGTCATACTTGTTCTTCAATGATTGTTTTAAAACATATTTGCTGTTGATTACTTGTTTTACTCAAAACTTTCTACTTGGGAAAGATTTTATACAAGTCGTAGTGATGTTGATTTAAAGTTTGAATTAGTAACGCAAAGGTCATAGTAGATATTAGGTAAGTTTTGTTAATTGAAATATCTTTATCTTTGCTTTTTATATAATCGAATAATCTTTGATTTTCCTCACAACAACCTTTTTACGAGTAACACTTGTTCAAACAGCATAAATTTTCCACACAATCGAAGGATATATTCACTTTACTTGTAAAGTCATTTCGATTCAAATATTGCACTGCATCTGCATCGAGCATTGCTGGAGAAAAAAGAACCGTCTACTCAAATAGTAATGAAAAGACAAGGATAGTCGTCTTTCAATTTCCTTAGCCTCGAGGATCGTATTAAGTATTTGACAACTACAGCAAGTGTGCTTTGACTTGTTCTTCAGTATTGCTTTTTGACGCAAAGCGTTTTGTTTGCCCAATGTACACAGAACATATACACATATGGCCTTCACTTCTTGTTCACTTCCCTCAAAAAAAAAAAAAAAAACGAAACGAAAGAAACGGCTTTCACGTATGATACATCATACGAGTACAGCCGTTCTAAGAATACTTTCCGCAATTATGGATTAAAAGGCACTTAAAGGGATGGTTTTTTTGTTTTTGTTTTAATAAATCAAGTAGTTATCCCTTCAAGCAAAAAGTAATAGCAGTACGTAAATTTCTCAGTTCCTTTTGATTCTGATGTCGTCCACTCTTATTTTGAACTTGAAAAATTTTGTGGGCAAACAAAATTGGCTTTGATTAATGGAAATAGGTGTGACTTTTTGAGAATATCATAATTAGATGTTTATATTTGCACTACACTCATTTATTGTAAAGAAACAATAACACAGCGTCGAAGTGTATCACGGTAAATAAATAATCCTCACTACTTGCAGCTCAGAATTTATCCTGGCATTGATCAGAATAAAAAAAAAATTCGAGAACTTTCCTCTTTTATTGGATTTTTTTTTTTTTACACCGTGATTCAACTTTTTTTACGAAAAGAAATGATGGGGAAACAAAAAAAAAATTATAAGCCAAGTAAAATGTACTGCTGGTAAAATAATATTTATTTTGTACGTAAAAATGCTTACTAATCGTAAGTAAGTGTTGTCGATTCGAAGAACCGAACGAGAAATAAAGCAAAAGACGCCCAAAGAGTATTCAATAATTCAAGACGATAGACGCGGACAGAGAAATCCCGTGTACTCATCCAGTTTTTGTGAAGGTCAAAAAATATTTCCACAGACGCGTTATCTTTAACGATTTCGGTACAAAAGTAACGTTGTCGTCGACGAATAAAAAAAGAAAATCGATGCGGAGCTTTTATTCATGCAACGCCAAAAAGTCTCGCCGACACCGCACACACAAAGTATAAGCAGTTATGGGTATTATATTGACGTAAAATTTCGCCTGAATATTGATAACATTATCGTATTTTGCACATTGATTCTTGTATAAATTCACTCATATTTTTCACAACAGATTGCCACGGTATTTACGAGAACTGTTGACACCTTGCCACACAATACCTTTGCCGTCCAGAGCCGCGATGAAGCTGCAACCATGTCGCTACTACTTGTACACACCAATTGTTTATCGATTCAATTTTCACAGTTGACTGTAAACAAATTTCCTACCACGTATCCCTCGAATCGCAAGAAATTGACAAACACGTCGAATCTTGTAATTAACGATGTACACAATGTACATGTATATATATATATACCTCATTTATCTTCATCGGACAAATCAATATTTAACCAGAACGGCCTTGAAAATCAAAAGTAATAAAGCAAAATAATGGTTCAACCGCGAAGTTGGAATTTTTTCATGTGCGCTTAATTCGTGCGCAAGAGTAGGTATATATATATACACATACATGGAAAAATGAGAAAACCTGTGTACGTACAACAACCGATTTGTGTGGTGACACGCGTCCCCCGCGTCAGGGGCGCCTCAAATCGAAAGATTAACGATCTCCGCTCACATCTACTTGCACATCGTTGAGAAAGTAAAGCCTCTCGATTCTCCTTTCGGATGTGAAAATCCACAAAGAGTGAACGAACTCGGCCCCTACCGAAGCTTTGTGTTCTTCTTTTTTGGCACTCTCGGATGCTCGTACATATGTGTACCGATTACGCCATACGCTCGGCTGTTAAAATCGAGTTCCTCAGAGCCCATGTACACGCGTACACACCAACGTATATATATACATATATACGTGTACGAAGCAAGAGTCTTTCGTTTAGCATCAGATCGCAAACAAACGATCCGATCGCTCGGCCGAGCGCGTGATTTCATTTGGCGTATCGGCTACTACTACAGCGTTTAGTGCACGCGCGCGTGGTTCACATGCGGGATGTTTCGATTGGACCGATCGAGGAGTCAGTTGTCTTCGAAGGCACTGGCGGTTCACACTGAAAGATCGGTTTTGTTTGCACGAGTCTTGGCGAGTGATTAGTGAATTCGCGTTACATACCGCGTGGTGTACACACATACATGCACCGATGGACCGCACCAGTGTACACCTCGTATCGTTACACTTGTTCAATTTGCAGTGTGCAAAGAGGATATATTATTTTTGTGGCGCGTACTTTTATTTCGGTCGACGACGCTTTTTTTTTACGCGGAAGGGAAAGAATATACAACAATGCGCTTCTTGGTAGCGTACGGATTGTTCGCGCCAGGTTGGTATGGAGAACAATTAGAGTCGGCCCCTGATGTATGCGCGCACGTAGTACAGCAGTGCTTCATTTTCCTATATTTTCATGCATATTTATACGTTATACTTTTAAAGGAAATAGGATCCTTCACAAACATGTTACCAATTCATTAAACTACTCATTATGAGTCATTTTCCAAAAAAAAAAGGAATTTTTCTTTGCCCAGTCACTTAAACACTATTTATTAAGATGGCCCTCCGAAAATTTTTTTAATAATATAGAGCTTTTTACTGCTGAAGTTCGATCATTGAAAATTTGATCACAAAGTCACCAATACTGGCATTGCTTTTTCTCGGTTTTAGAGAACCAAAAAGAATTTCCATAAGAGTTTTACGGTGTTTAAGTGGTAGATACAAAATCTAACAAATTTAATATCCCCGCGGAAAATACTCTTAATATCTATATGAGTTATATTCGGATATATCAGTCCGAACGTATAATATAGTGGTACAAATTTTTTTTAATTTTTCCAGTGTTACAGGTTGCCGAAGTACAGGGTGCGTCACAATCCCGATTTTACGACAATTTTTACATGAGCCCGTAACGTATACTCGTAAACTTATTACGATAATATTGGAAAATTATTTTTACAACTAACAAAGTAAAGAAGGAAAAAAAAAAAAAGAAAAAAAAATGGTCCTTATCCGTTTCAGGCTTTGAAACATGCTGATTTTCGTACAAAAATTATATATACGTTTGGTAATATTTTTCAATTTGATGCTACATGTATTTTTGGATCGCCAACTTTAAATCTTGATTTACTCTGGAGGCATTTTTGAATTACGGATTTTTAATCTCGATTCAAAATTCATTGAACCAAACGTTCCGATTCGGTGAATCGGAAGATCGAGTAACAGATTCGTTTGCTGCGATTAAAGAAACGGAAAAATGAATTCCAACTCCAATTATCGATTCACTTGGAAAATGTTGCAAAACAATCGATCAACAGTTAAAAATGTATGTAAAACACCGTAAGAACCCGTGGCACTACAATATCGGTATGCATAAAAATAAGCGATTTGTCCAGACACTTCCACCAATGTGCTCGATTAGTATTTATTTTCTACCCCCAATGACATGCTCTACACACCTTACAAAGTTCCATGCATCCGAGAATCACAAGACCACAACAGCCCCACAAGTCCCGAGTTCTCGATGAATCTCGCGCAATCGGTGGGCTTGCGAAACCAGCCCTACATAACGCCAACAATATCATTTTAACCGGTCGCTCGATAATTCAGACCACGGCGGGGAAAATCCGCGTTTCCTCGGGGTATACACGCGAAGGAGGAAAGGTGAAAGTGCGGATCACACGTCGGCTAAAATAGCCCGCAGCTTCCCCCTGTCATCTTTTCCTCGGCACTCCGTATACTTATACGCGCGGACGTCGAATGCGGCGCGCTTCTTTGATGATTCTCGGTGAAACGCGAATCTCGTGGGCAAGCGTTCGGGAAGAGAGCAGTGGACCGCCCTACACGAGCAATTATCTAGCGCGCGGTGCTCGGGAGCAAATTTAGGGGCCTCCATCCGTACACGCAGCAGACACGGAAATATAAGTACCTTGGTCCGATGCGACTGTTTTTAGAAAGGCCGTATAGGTAGGGGGTTGCGTCTTTGGGCATAGATTTCGGAGCGGCTCTCGCGGGAGCGAGCAATGGAATATATATACACGTGGACCATCGTGGGTATACCTCCACCGTAGACGATTTGCTGTGTAATTCGCGCACGGCCGAAAATAACCGGATAGCGAAGTTTAGGCTTAATCCAAGTGTAAAGGCGTGCGACAGCGTGACTCATCAATAATACCGATGTTGTTTCAGTGCGTCAACATGATTGTTTGTTTCATCGGGCATTAATTGAGAGTATTACGTACATTTTTCGCTATGCAGATCGATGATATCGTATTCCGGTGAGAAGCACTTATTTTAGCCTCTCTCGTTGAACTCAACTATAGTAAATTTGGTGGAAATCGCGCCGCTAAAAGACGTGAGTTGTCGCATCAAATGCCGGTCGGTGTCTATTTTTACGTATTCAGCGCATACG